AATTAAGAAAGGACTTGTATCGCTGAAGTTTCTCCGTAAGAATTTCTACGGAAAATTAACAAATGAACAGAAACGTAATAATAATATATATATATATAAGTTTTAAAAATTTCGGTTCACGAGCCTTCTTCTAGTTCTAGGTCTAAAAAACTACAAAAAGTATAAATAACGGATTTTATATTTTGAGTGTATATAATTAAATCTGTATTACATAGTGAACAGTACTCAATAAAGGCATTAGATAAATTAAACGTGCTAAAATATTTTCTAAGGTGATTGAGCTTTCTCTCAAAATCCAGTAGATTTGTTTCAGATTTGAATGCAAGGTTATACAATGACATATTCATCCTAACCATTGTGGGGAATCGAGCCCCGGATTTACGTTGTAAATCTGTCAACTTACCACTGACCCATTGTGTCATAATTGTGTAACTTATGTCTTTTTGAAGTGATAAATATTATCTGTTTTTCTTTTGATTATTTTGTTTTCCAACTTCACTGAAACAACAATATGCAATAAAAAAAAGAAACGCTGTAAATTGACAAATTTGCAAAGAACGTAATTTTGCCCCCCAGTGGCACAGCGGAATGTCTGCAGACTTACAACGCTATCATCCGGGTTTCGATACTCGTGGTGGGCAGAGCACAGAAATGTTACAAACCAATCTCTATCAGAAATAGAAGTGGAAAAGGTATATTATCCAATTATTAACTGTTAATCAACATGTTTCCAACCTTATAAAGTGTGTAGAATGGCACTCTCAAAGGAAATCTGGCTATATATATATATAGCTTTACAATACTAAAAAAACTATAAAGCCTGCATGTATGCATATAGATGTAAATACTAGCCAACATGCATTGCATGTACATACATCTATGAAACTAATGCATTTACAAAATCCAGTCCATGCACCATTCCAGTATTATAAAGTAGTTTCTCCAATCCAGTGTTTACAGGCTTCCCATATATACATATATATATGGTAAAAATATAGCGTAAAAATATAGTAGCTATATATATATATATTTTTTACAAGCATATATATATAACATGTGGTATGTTGATCACCATGAATCATAGTATTACATCATACATGTATTACACTATCAATGATAATGTTACGACAGCGGAGGTCACGTGACTCTAGTAACACGTCATATTCCTGAAGCTTCATGAATCCTCGGGAGGTTACTAGATGTACAGTATTCTTTTACATAAGACGGCCAAAAAGTGAAGATAAGGTAATGTAATTGAACTGCAGACAGAGAGAGAAACATATTGTCGAGACGAGCACGTGAGGCATTCGTTGTGAATTATAGCGTTTGTTATAGCGTGACTGTGAAAATTAAGTGTATTGCAAAGTTGTATTCAGAAAGAATAAACCAGTTTTATTTAAGAAAGGACTTGTGTCGCTAAAGTTTCATCGGAAAGAATTTTTACGGAAAATTAACTAATGAACGAAGGCGTAACAAATTGGTGTCAGAGAGTGGGAAGAAAAAAAAATGGAAACGAGAAGCGA